ATATTTGACATTATTTTTCTCATATGACACAACACTGATGAAGGCTATAATGTTAGCCGAAACGTTTTTTTTTAACCAAAAAAAAATAATGAAAAACCAAATGAAAACTTATTCAGCGTTTTTCCCGAACCTAAATCCCAAGAAACTCAAAAATTTTAGAATAATTTTACATTATAAAATGACAGCTATCTTTATTTCATAGCCATCGCTGACGCATTTTTTTCTATGATATTGTATTATTTGTAAATATAATTTTTCGAACATTGATACTTGCAAAATATATGTACATATAAATTTTGTGAATGCAAATAATAATACATTACTATTAGTATATATTGAATGTTTTTTGTTAAATTAGATCGAATTTCAAACCCCAAAATTTAAAATATATTTTACATTTTACCCATTATCTTATGTACCTAGTCATTATTTGTATATTGTAAAACATTTGCTGCATTTGTATGGTTCATAGTTTATTTGCCAAAGTATTTATTACTATAAATAGGTATATATATTATATTTATTAACTGTATATTATGTATATTTCATGTAAACTATATCATTTTTAAAATACAAACCAAAAATCTGAGGAATAATTATGTTTTCCATGTATTCTACAACATATTTATTAATCCGTTATATCTAACTAGCGTGACGTCATAAATCTCGCCCGCAGGCTGATCTTATAATAGAAGGCACTGCAAGAAAATGGTGTTATAATCTCTTTGATCGGCGATTTTTTTGAAAATGGAAACAATTTACAGCAAGGTAAGATCATTTTTAACTATAGCCAACATTAGTTATCCCCAGTATGTGCGATTTATTGTCAATAATGCAATAAATCGGACTGATAATCTGATTATGTTATCCGACTAAAAATCTCTTTTTGCATCTTTTTGATTTATAAGCCAGGTTCTTTGGGAATAATGGACGCTTTTTTAAACAGTATATTTATATTTTATACCTATTGATATTTTTACATTGTTAATTTTAGTATAAAAAAATTGTTTTTCTGTTTTCAGGTTTTTGTATAAGGCTCCCGTTTTCATGTTCCTGTGTCCGTTTTCTGTCCTTTAAGTTGAAACAATACAATCTTCTATATTTTCATATTTATTTAGTCACGTTGTTCCATATTTCAAATAAATATATGCGAATAAATTATTTTTTGGTTTTATAATAATAATAATTATAATAATAATTTATTTCCAGAAACAAAAATTACAAAATAATAATACTACATTGTAACTCCTACAGAGATAAATAAATTATCTGTGTGTAGGGCTGGATGTACCTATATAATAATTAACAAACTACTAATACATAACAACAATAATTAATACTAACCTAACCTAGTGTGCCAAACATGACTACAAATGATAACAGCGGGGTTGCTGTATTCACTTGTTATATGACTCATGAAACCATAAAAACCACAAAAAAAAATTCTATAACATAATTATCTTTTAAATCAAACATTAATTCTAACCCAATTTTTTATTTTAGTTTTAATATTATGTTTTGATGCTGTTAGTGATTTTAACTCATTTGGTAACCTATTATATAATTTTATTGCTAAATTATAATTATTTTTATTGCTTACTCTTTTAATCATTTTGGGTAACGGTATACTTTTGTTTCTTGTTATACTTTCTGATTGTAAATATATTGTTTTAAGACTATTGTAGTGATAAATTAAAGATTCTAAAGAAAAAAGTTGTTCTAAATTAAGTGGTAAGTTTGTTGTAAATAAAGTGTTTTTACTGATCATTTTTATTAATTTTTTCTGTAGATTATTCACAACATTCAAGTTATTCATATAAGCACCTCCCCATGCTATAATTCCATAGCTTACAACACTATGGAAAAAAGCATAGTAAATTAACATTAGTGTTTTAGTGGTCATAATTTGTTTTAGTTTATAAAAAATTATTGTTAAGTATTTTGTTTTGCCTATAACATGATTTATGTGCTCAGCCCAGCTAAGTCTATAATCAAAAATTACGCCCAAATATTTATAACTATTTACACGTTTTAGGCACTTATTATTAATTTTTATTTCTACCCGGTCTGGCACACTATCACAGTAATTTCCAAAGGTGATAAAAACAGTTTTATCTATATTCAATGACAACTTATTCAATGCTAACAATCTTGAAATTTTCTCCAAATAAAGATTCATGTTTTTTATTGTTTCCTCCCAAGTTTTTGCTGCAGAAATAACTGCTGTGTCATCTGCATATGACATTATTGTATTTTTTGATAAAGACTCCAAGATGTCATTCACATAAATTATAAACAAAAGGGGTCCAAGTATTGTACCTTGTGGAACTCCTACTTTTACCTCTCGATAAGAACTTATAGTATGATTGACTTTAACTCTCTGTTTTCTGTTGTTTAGATAACTATTTAACAATCTATGTGCACTTCCCCTTATCCCATACTGATATAATTTATCTAATAGCAACCTGTGATTGACCGTGTCAAAAGCTTTAGCCAAATCTAGGAAAGCTACAATTATTGGGATTCCTTTATCCAGATTATTATAAACTATATTCGTTATGTTTGAAAATGCATCTCTAGTTCCCATATTCTTAAGAAAACCATATTGATTCTCTGAGATTATTTTGTTATTTATTATAAAGTTATATAACCTACTATGGATTATTTTTTCAAGAATTTTTGCAATGTTTGAAATTAAAGAGATGGGCCTATAATTATGTGTTTTATTTTTCTCATTTGCCTTATATATGGGAACTATTTCTGCACTTTTCAAGGAATCCGGCCAAAAAGAAAATTCAATGCATTTATTAAAAACATGCATTAATGGTTCTGCAATATTCTCAGACAACACTTTTAGTGTAGTAGCATGGATATTATCTACCCCACCCGATTTATTTTTTAAATTATTTATTATTGTTTTAATTTCGTCTGTGCTAGTTGGTTTAAGAAAAATAGTTTTTGGATTCATTGGTGGAAGATTTATTTTTTCATCTGAGAATTTTTGAATTTTTTTACTTAATATGTCACCGATCTCACTGAAATAACCATTCATAGCTTCAGCTATGTGTTCCGCGTTTGTTATTTTTGTATTATTGTCATCTATAATATGTTCTATTTTGTTATTTTCTTTTTTTCTTTTTCCTATTTTATTATTTATTATTTTCCAGAGATTTTTTGGATTATTACAATTTGCTTCAACCAGTTTTTTTTCATGTTTAACTTTAGCATCTTTTATAACTTTATCAAGTATTTTTATGTAAGTTTTATAATCTTTTTTTAGTTGTTCATTTTTTTTATCTAGTTTCCACAAGTTGTAAAGATGTTCTTTTTTATTGCATGATATTATTATTCCTTTTGTAATCCAATTTTTTCTAGGCAATTTTTTGCCATTTTTATTTGTTTTTTTACTTTCTTTTGATTTACATATACAATTTTGTATATTTTCAATTATTAAGTCAATGCTCACATTAGGATCTTCCAACAAAAAATTATTCCAATTTATTTTATTAGCTACATTTTTAAGTTTTTTATAATTTATTCTATTTGGGTTATAATTACTTTCTTTATTCATTAGAGTTGTATCTATATTAACAAATAGTGGATAATGATCTGTAAAAGTTTGAGTAATTTTAATTGCTTTATATGCTATAGTGTTTGTTTTAAAGAAAAAATTATCAATGCAGGTTCCTTCCTGATTACATTCTGCTGGCCTTGTTACTCCCTGGAAACAAGGCATATAGCCATCCTCCAGAAAGTTACTCAGATATTCCTGGCTAACAGTGTTGTGCTCCAACAGATCAATATTGAAATCTCCTACAGGCTTTATTTATGAAAAGAAAAAATACAAAATACATTTGAACTGAAAGAGGGCCCGCCATTGAATAACCGGAAACGAAAATGAAAATTAAGCCATCATGTCCTTATCATGTCAACCTGTCAATTGGAAAGTTAGTTCTCCAGACGACAACGAAGGCTTTCGGTGGCGTATCGTGTTTCCACGATTTAACACAGAGTTGACACTTCTTTCTAGTTAATTATTTTATGATGTGTAGCACAATGTGAAGTGTGGATCTGACCGTGAAGCCCATATTTGCTGCATTTGATCATCGACACTACGCAAGCGCACAACGCACTAAACAAGCGCACTATGGAGTGTAGAGGTAAGGAGAAACAACTCCGTGCATTAAAATATGGTCAAAAAAAGGGAAGAATTAGGATGGCGCTGCTGTAGCAAAAACCTAAAATTTAAGACATGCGCCGAACATTTTTAGAACAGCTGATTCAAAAGACATTTGACGTGAATCATATACGTGAAGCCGCGGGTTTCAAAAATACAAATTTATTTTTATGTCACATGAAATAAATTACAGATTTTTATTCAGCAGCAATAGACTAGGCCCTTTTTTTATTGTTTCTCATAAGTTATTTCGCAAATGTCATTCAAGACGACGAAAAAATATTCTGATCGTTTTAGCTTAAAATTAATGGTAATTATAATTAAGAAAAATTTTATTTAAAGGAATAATTTGTGATGGGTTTAAAATAAATATAATGCAGCTTTAAAATAACTTCATACCTACATTTATTTAGTATAAAAGTAAGTCAATATGTGGTTTTTTTATCGATTATTCAGAAGCAATAGACTGAGCATCTTTTTATTGTTTCTCATAAGTTATTTCGTAAATCTCATTCGAGATGAAAAAGCTTTAGTTTAAAATTAATGTTAATTATAATTAGGAAAACTTTATTTGAAGTTTAATTGATTATATGGGATTTAAATAAATATAATGCAGGTCAAAAATAACGTAATACATTTTATTTATTATAAAAATTAAGCCAATATTATGTAATTTTATACTGTACAAGTATTTATTTACTTTTTGCCCCATCGTAGTTGCCATTCATTCAGAATAGTGGATTTTAAATGTTCGATAGTCGGATGGCTTAACTACCTTAATATCAACTATTTCTAGACAAGAATCGTGTGCAGTATTATCTTCTTTTTCACTCCCAGCTATTCCAACATGGCTTGGGACGTGGAATAATATAATTTTATAGCCCTTCCAGATCCTCATGTCTTCCTTGTAGTTCACCCAATAGAATCGTTCTCGCAGCTTCCTCCCAATTGGTAGTTGCTATTCATTCAGAATAGTGGATTTTAAATATATTTGGTAGTCGGATGGTTTAACTATCATAACTATAACTACTTTTAATAATTCTTTTTCTCAATTCTTTGCACTATAATTTGCATCCCACGTATTGTAATATTTTCCTTTGAATTTCGTTTCCTATTGTTCCATGGCTTGAGACGTAATGTTATAGCCCTTCCAGATCCTCATGTATATGTCCCTTTTTCTTGTAGTCCACCCAATAGAACCTTTCTCTTAGCTTCCTCTCAAGTTGGTTCATTAAGAATAGTGGATTTTAAATATGTTTTGTATTCGGATGGTTTAACTACTGTAACATCATAAATAAATTGTATACCAACACATAATGGCCAAACTTCAACAGACTTTAATATTCATAAGCCTCATCAGAAGAAAATATTTTTTGATCCAAAGTTTCTTTTTCATTATTAGAATAAATTACCTGCAATTTGTTAATTCATTACAACATTGAATAAAAGATGCAAAGTGTTTATACATACTATAATAGATAAATCTTCATTTTAAATTATGTGATAGATCTGCTTGCTTGTAGGATCTAGACTCATAAACTCAATAATTTCTTTTATTGATATAACCAATAAAGTGGTAATGATGAAATTTTGTTTTTGATTTGAGCAGTAGGGTCCATTATTTCCATTATTTGATGCTGTTATTGCTCTACAAAATGTTGATCTTTATCAAGGGATGTTTATGTGTATAATATTATTATTTATGTGTATAATAATACTGTATGATCGAAAAAACACGGCGTCCAGTGGGCTTGGAAATGAACATCTCGATGACATTCTCCATATCATTTTACATATAAAATGACAGCAATCTTCATTTCATAGGCATCGCTGACGCCGTTTTTTATTCGATCAAATTGTACTTTTTTATTCTGTTGTTGCTCTCATTTAATGGTTCCTGTTTTAGTTGCTGTTGTTCATATTTTGGTTTTTTATTCTGTTGTTGCTCTACAAAATGTTATTATTTATGTGTATAACATTACTTTTTGTGTGTATAATAATACTTATGGGTATAATATTCATTTAATGGTGCCCTTCTTGCTTGTTGCAACTCAGAATTTAAATTAACTTGAGGCAGTAGGTAGAACTTCATCCTCCAATATTTTCCTATGTAAATACTGCAAGTGGACTGTATTTCTGATGACAATTTTATCATAAACTTTAACATCTTGTTCTTTAAAATGAAACCTTATCTGTAGATTTCAAAGCAATATCTAAATGCTTTTGACCATCGCTGTAATGTAATTCTTGTCTGAAAATCAATACCTCATGTCAATTATCATCATGTCTATTATCCTAATGATTTTGATTTTGATAGATTATTAAAATACAGCACTTACAGTTAACTAGTTCTTGAAAGTACCTACAATTTTATTTATTTCCTACTTTTACTTGTTTAAAAAAATGCCAACAATTTGTGCATGTCTGTCAAACTTTAAAATCATTAATAATAAATTTTATTCAGGTTGTAACTTTATAAAAAGGATTGTAAAAATATACTTTGTAACATGTATGTCAATAATCTTACGAAAAATGTTTACTACACTTTTGATTGACTCTAATTTTTGCATATAATACAAATAATACAATACTGAATTATATTATGTATTTTACATACCGTAGGCTTTGCCTTTGCTCTTTATTTTTCCATCAGCTATTCAATCAACTTCGCACCACACACACTTTAACCATTGTTAAATAATAAATAAAGCACAAAATATTGTAAACAATAATTATTTTATATTCACAAAAATAAAACAAAACTTTTTTGGGTGTGTTTGAAGTTTATATTTATTTTTTTATTCTCTGATCTATGGATTTACTTTTCATTTTTTTTTTAGATTTATGCGTTTTTAGCGCCACTGTGGTCATTTGGCGAACCCTTATTCTTCCCATTTTGTGACCACTTTTTCAATAAAAGTCCCATAAGAGTTATTTCTCCTTACCTCTACACTCCATAAAGCGCACTAAACAGCAATTTGGCAACATCATCGATGTTGCCAAATTGCTGTTTATTGTTTATTTTCTAATTCTTTGCAGTTGAAACCAGGGGGGTGACAGTAAACCGGAAAATTGGAAACAGTTGTGGCGCGGTTCTACCCAGGCAGAAAGCATCATAAAATAATAAATACAAGAAGAAGTGTCAAGTCAATGTTAAATTATGGAAACAGCGTGGCTGCCTGGGTAACTAATTTTCAGATATGGCGGCTGGGACATTTGACATGACATAGACATGACAATTTCAATTTTATGAAATTTATTTCCGTTTCCGGTTTTTAATGGCGGGCTGTTCAGGAGGTTTAAATGAGGGTTAATATACTTTTTACTCTTTCTAGTAGTAAATAATACAACAAAATTACTCAAAAATATTTATTTGGAATTTAGAACAATGTAAATATGCAAATCAACACAATTAAAGAGCTATAAACCAATAAACTACTGTATCAATATTAAATATTTAAATAATATCAGAGATGCTGTGTTAAAGCGAATTAGTAAAGTAACAGTGCATTGACTTACAGAAACTTGAAGATAAATAAATGTTTTCACAGCTTCACGGATAAATAACTGGAAGCAGGAAAAAGGCAACCGGAACCCACACAAAACCTGGAATCAAAAAAAATATGTAAAAAATATAAATATAGGTACCTACATAAGACTTTTGTGAATTAAATCAAACAGGACTTGAATGAAAATAAAATGAATAAAAAATATGATACATATACATCTAATACCTCATTTGTATTTTAAAAATAATCTACATACATAGATTTATAGCATTATTGCTATGAAAATACATAATAGGTACCTATGTGATATGTAATTACGCATTTCTGTTCATCTTGTAGAAATTTAACGTAGGCTAATAATAGTTCAATAATCATAATTTACCTTGTATAACTTGCTTTCAATTGCTCAAAATCACCGATCAGTCTTTAAAGTAGAGATACGGAAAAATCCTTGAAAGAATATCCCAAGATCCTTGGGTTTAAAGCTAAAAAAATATAAAAACAGTTAATATATTACCTATTTTTACCTATAATATGGCCATACTACCTACCAGGGTTCCGGTAGTTAATTAAGACGTAATTTACCTGATTAACTACATTAGTAGTTTTCTTCAAAAAACTACGTCTTTTCATTCATTATCTACATGAGAAACTACGTTAATAAACTATGTATTGATATTGCTGATCATTTCCCTTTGTATGAGGTGTTATAGAGATAATATGATGTAAATATTATATTTAAAAGCCATATTTCTTCTGTTTTCTTAAATTCATTATGTTTTACAAAGCTTCAACTTGTTATAACCCTCACCTCAAACCTTTGATGACTGACATAGGTTACATAAACTACACCCACTACATACATCACATTAACTACATGTAATGCTTAGTTTATATGAATTTTAAAATATTTATGTAGTTTTTCCGAACCTGCCTACTACACGCAAGAAACGTCGATTTCATCATTTTCTTCATGTAATTAATATGTATATACTTTATTAAAGAAGTGTTAACAAGGAACTTTATATCCAAAACATATTTGTACTTATAAATTTCCGTGAAATATCAGAGCAAGCTTGATAAAATCTAAACGGCAAAAGTGAAATGGCGCCCGACCTTGCAGAGGCCTCGGGGCTGACACGTTGACTACACAGACAAAGAGACAAAGAACAGGACATGACGTGCATAAAAATGTTCCGTAGCAGAGAGTGACAGAAATCATATAGAAATATTCAGATTTTGTCTGGGACGATCCTAAGGGCCACATGCTTTCACCGCCTGGGTAGAACCGCGCCACAACTGTTTTGAATTTTCCGGTTTACTGTCACTTACTGGAAGCATGGCCTTCTAGACTGTCCTGGAAACAAAAATCTGAATATTCTATATTCTATCCAGTACAAATTATTTATACGATGTCTTTGTCTTTATTAATCATGACTCCAGACCTCTAGATCGAGCATATTAATTTTGCCATCTCATTGGAGATTTGTTTCTGATATATATTTCTGATATTTCGGCTGAAATTTATAAATTTAGATATTTTTGATATAAAAGTTCCTTAATTGACTGTAATAAAGTATATATGACATATTAATTACATGAAGAAAAATGATGAAATCTTTTAATTTCTACGTGTAATATGGAAACAATAAGGCCATATTATAAAAATAGGTAATATATTAACTTCGACACCTCGACACCTTTAAACAAAGATCGCAAGGATGTCCGCCAGAACCCTATCTCTTTAAAGGCAATCGTGACACAACAATTAACAGAGATGATAGAATATGATTATTGAGCTTATTAATAACCTACGATGAAACCTACGGGGTATTTCGAAAATATGATTATCACATGTATTTTCATAGCAATAGTATAAATCTATATGTAGATTATTTTTTGAAATGCAAGTGAGGGTATTGAATGTATTATGTATCATATTTTTATTCATTTTATTTTCACATTTCCAAGTCCTGTTTGATTTGAGAATTCACGAAATCTTATATATATTTATGTTTTTGCCTGTTTGATTCAGGTGCATGAGTTCAATTACCCTTCCTACTTCAGTGTTAGTTTTATGCCAGTAATATTGTTATGCATCTTCAGAGTTTCTGTAAAGTCAGCTCACTAATTACTTTACTAATTCACACAACACAACATCTCTGATATTATTTAAATATTTGATATTGATAAATAGTTTATTGGTTATATGCTGGTGTGTTGATTCACATATTTATTGTTCAATTAAATCATATTTTTGTTGTCATTATACTGAAAAGGTAGCTCTCTTCATTTACAACTCCTAATTCAACTCGTCGCTCGGAAACGGAAATAAATTTCAGCAAAATGAGGCAATCTTGTCTATCGTAATCCAAATAATCTGGCTCCTCTATATCAAAAAGAAATATTCGTTCTCACTTCTCTTAACTATTCAGAGACCATGTAAAGTGAAATATTAAAATAGTTCCAATAAAGTTTCCCAGGTATGACGGATGATGGCGCTGATCGTCAAAATTTTTGGACAGGGATTTTGCTTACCGACAATACGACGTGAGCTACGACCGGACCAGGACCAATCAGAATGATCAGTCTGTGGATCAGTCTTTCTTGGACATTTGCCGCGGAAGTGTGTGTTAATTTCTGTTGTGATAAGTGTGGTTGTGTTTGCAGTTTGATTTTTCGGTTTTGATATTATGTTAAAATTAATTTTGAAGTATTGTATCACCTGTTTTTATGCAATAGTACTTTTCTTAGTTCTATGATCTGATATGTTATGATTTGTTAATGTTTGTTTAACAATGTTATACCAAAGAGGTTATACTTAATATACTTATCAATTTGCATAGCCTAACTTTTTTATCAATAAACTTTGTAGATTTTCAGATTATTTAATTCCTTTTGTTTCTGTTTGTAATTTTATTTTTAAGACATATTATGTGCTTGTTTCACATAATATTTTCACTAAAAATAAAATTGCAAATAGTGAATAAAAATAAAATAAAAAAGTGTATTTTACAATTCCCCCCGGCCCCGCACCCCTTTGGCTAACCTATAATGTCAGCTATGTCGAGAGATGGCGTTACGAAAATGGAACCGATTTATTACAAGGAACTTGGGCTTCTTTTTCGTTAGTATATTCTGTGTTGTATTTATTATTTTATGGTTGAAACTGTGAGTTGAAAACATTTTTTTTTGAGTGTTAATCAGTAATAGCTCTGGTAATAATACAAATTCTATAATTAATTTTATAATTTCAGACTTGATATCCAAAATTAAGGTAAGAAGGATAATGAAGATTGTGAAATGAAAGTATTATGAGTATATAAAATTGTAATAATAATAACATTTATTTATATATTTACATTAGAATTAAAAATTATCATTTACGGATTTTTACGGAAAGTACAAAATTCGGAGGGTGTTATATCTGAAAAGCATCCAAATTTTTATGATAAAGGTCGAGTTTACCCCAGTTTTTCCAATAATTACCATTATTTTAAATACCCATCCTAAGAAAAAATGATAGAAGTTACTGCTAAACTTATTAGAGGACATGTATTCTTACAAGGCGAAGTAGTAGAATGCCTGATTTCCTTTAGCCATCCTGTATCGCCTACTCACAAGGTATTTGTTTATACTTGTACTTCCCTACTATGCTTGCATTACCTAAATTATTTTCAGGTCTCTCAAAGCCATGCAGATGTTTTTGAAAGTCTTGCTTGGGCTTCAGCTCAAATACAATGCCAGTGCTTCACGGATTCAAAAATTTCAAAATATAAAGAGGGTTTAAAAATTAAGCAGATTGTTTCAGGAGATACAGCATTGAGTACAGTAGGGGGTGATAATTCAAGGGTTGAACAATTTACAAAGCCCAAAATACTCTTCTGTGATTTGAGATTATCACCTGGACAGTCCAAGACATGTAAAGGGATATAATTGACTTATAACAATCATTACTTTAAAATACATTGTTTTAGTTGTTTACAGAGAGAAAATTCTTACTGATTCACCTCCTTCATATCGAGGACAGTTAGTAAAGTACTCATACAAGATTATAATTGGTACTCAGCGAGTAAATAATCCAGTTAAACTGTTGAGAGTACCAATAAGAGTACTGCCTTTAGCTGAAGCTATATTAAATGAGGCTGGAGCGTTGTGTAATGAAACGACTGAGGAACTAACTCCAACAAACCCATTTTTAGAGATAAGACAAAAAGAGAAACCAATAGATTTGGCATTGCAAAGTTTACAAGTAGGTCAAAGTCAAATAACTTGAATTTTTAATTTTTTTTATTATTTTAGAATATAACTGCAAGAAGAAATCCTAATTTTTATATGATATCAAATATTTGGGGTAAAGTTGCTAGATTTTGTTTATTTAAACCTGCTTATAAACTTGGAGAAGATATTATTGGTAATAGTCGAATATTTTTGAGATGATATATATTTTTTAAAAGTTTGATGTTACAGGAACATTTGACTTTACTATAGCTACAGTTAGTTGTATGCAAGTTTCAGTGTCACTACAATGTGAAGAGGAGACTACTTTAGATCCAACAAATGAAAAATCAAAACAAGTTAGAGTTATAACTTTTAGTAAACAACATGAAGTATGTTTAGGCTACAAGTATACCCAATTGATACTGCCTATTCCATTACATGTTACACCTGCTTTCACAACAGATTTAGGTACAATGGGCTGTTTATACAGTGTCTCTTACCCCATGTACTATATAAATTTATTTTCAGTCTCATTAAAATGGCGACTACATTTTGAATTCGTAACCAGTGTACAAAAAGGGTTACATCCCACTAGTTTAGAGGAAAATTATTGGCAAGCCCCCTCCGAGGTTCCTATTGAAACAATGGTTTGGAGTCTCCCAATAAGATTGTATTCCACCCTTCCAATACATGTAGCACAGGGTGTACAAGGAAATACCATTCAAAAGATATTAATAAAATAATGTATTTACCTCATAAGTTTATTTGTATGTATATATCTTAACATTAAGTAAATTAATCTTTAGTTAATATCGCCTTTTTTGTGTACTAATGTATAGAACATTATTTCCTCTTATGAATGCATCTCCAAATTTGTTTTTTAACTGACCATTAACATACTCTTCGGTCTGTTCTAAAGCAATATTCATGTAGCCATCTAAACAAGCCAAAACACCTATCAAAAATTTTATTAATTATTAAGATGTAGTTTGTTAAGTACCGCCTACCTCTGTAGTCTACCCCACTGTTGAGTTTAACCACAACTGGTCTGGCATGAATTTGCTGAATAAATGTAGAAAGTGCTTCTTTTCTACTCATATTTGTGCTTAAAATGATATGTTGAATTTAGTTTTTTAAGTTAACGATGGGTTATGTTCAGTTATGTTTAACGCATAGTCTGTCCAACGAGAAGATCCTTGACCTTGACAGTGATAGATGTGTCTGTCATTTTAATTTCAAAGTAGTTTATTTTATTTTACAAAGAAATAAGTTGGTACAACCAGGGGGGTGACAGTGAAATACGAAAATTGGAAACAGTCATTAGTGTCATTCCTGTCATTCTCCTCACGACAAGTATGGCCGCCTAGACAAGGACAGCATTGTTTTTGTCTATGGAGTCTAAAAGGAGGAGGCGAATCGAACGCAAAAATTATGGGCCCAGTTTTTGAGATCTAAATGAAGTTCGAAAATCGCCGTTAGGGGCGCTTGTGATGATTGGGATACTAGAAATACACAGCTTCTTATGGCAAGAATAACTATTTTGTTATAAATTATAGAGCCAAGTTAATATTTGGGCATATTTTTACCAGAGTTAGCTTTTAGAAACGTGGTTTTTCTAATTGAGCAATGTGCGTGGCTAAAATTGTGAATACAAAACCTTAAATTTGAGTTTGAAAAGTTAGTTAGGTTATATTAGATGCCGGTTTAATATATCCTTTTCCTAAGTTGATATTATAAAAATGTTTTATTATGTGGTTCTTTTTAGTGCATACACGACCGAAGAAACATATAAGCTGCTAAAATAAATCTTCCCTAGAACTGTTGTACAAAAAAGATAGAAGTTCCAGCAACAAATTTATCACCAGTTCAACCTTTGATTTGATGTAAACAGTAATTGTTTCTTGATGAGAAATGCGAATGAAATAGTTTATGGTGTGATTGTGTTAGTGTTTTATTAATAGTTTTGTTGATGCAGTTTAAAGGTTCATAGTTTTTCATTAAAACATTTGAAATTGACATGTTTACATGCAGTTTAGTGTGATACCATTTTAATAAACATTAAAATCTTTCGAACTAGTAGTGGTTTTATGGCGATTGACAGATTGAATAACGAAAATTAAGAGTATTTTATCAGGAATAACTTAATCATAAATGGAAACTGAAGACGAACGTTACCATTGCACCCTTTGATCGGTGTTATCTATTCCATAACTTTTTATAGCTGAAACTAGAGAGTAGGTATATTGAGCTGAAACGTTTCCTGTGTTCAATAGCGTTTTTTCTAGCGTTGAATTGTAAGTTTTAATGTCATTAGCAAAGTTTTGCAAATTGTCACTGTTTCGTAGACAATTAAATTCAAGATATATTATATTCAATGTCACCTAATAATTGTAAAGGTTTTTCTATTGATATTCACTTTATTAATATAAGGTAGGTTTGTAAATAAAATATTAATGAATAAATAATGTACTCAGTTTATTTCAAAAGCACAAAAATACAGAGTTGTGAATATGTATATACGCTGACTTATTTCATCATATAAATATTTATTTAGCAATATTAATACATTACAACTTTTGTTTCTATTAACTAATTCCACTAAATTTAATAAATAAAATATACAATATATAAATTTAATATACAATTTAGCACTTAGATATTAAATATCTATATGTACTATGCCAAAAAATAAAACAGGAACATCATATTATATCAAGAACACAAAAAATTACAATTTAAAAAAAATGCATTCTAAAAAAATACCTAGCTACAATATACCTACATATTAATTTAAAGAGCTTATTCATATTCATAAAAACTATTCTAAATGGTTTATATACACAATCAAAAGTATCAACCACAATACAATAATTTTCAAATTATTTCTTATTATTCCTCAATGAAAAAGCGTCTTGCGACGGCTAGTCAAAAATCTAAATAATTTTTATAATAAATTTACAATCTGACATATGCAAACTATTTTTCAAATTTGTGAACATAGTAACTCTACTGTCTGTAACATCAACTGGCACATTAGTAATATCCGCGAAGAATTTCATTCTCATTCTCAAAGTTAGGTTCTGAAGTTTGATTTTCAACATGATTAATAGGCAGACCTTTTACTTTTTGAATTAGAAACTTTTTCAGTTGCTTCACTCCTTACACATGGTGGTTTCCTCTTTCTTTTATTACTAGAGAAAATATGAAGGCAGGTTAGGGAAAAATTCTTGGAATTGAACCCTCCTTTAATAATGGTCTACCCGCTCAATTCTACTGATAGTTGGTCAGTTAATTTGGCCCACACTAATAAGACCTCATTTCGGCCCTCGGACGGCCTTGTTCTATTCAGCTATCGACTTTCGTGTTGACAAGTTGATTAGGCAGGTTATTGAACTCCATGTCGCCTCTAGCATGTCGTTTTTTCAAAGATGGGTCCCATATAAACGCGGCCAGAAGTATTTTCAATACTAAAAAGAAAAATATATTCAGAGATTCAGTGGCAACAGTTCAAAAGTAAAATATTTCAATTCCAAATAAAAATATAACATGTGTATGACTATTTTAGTAAATACCATTTTGATTTTTTGTTATTTATCACGGTTCATATTTTTGAGAAGCTCATGGCAAGGCGGATCATATGATTTATAAATATATTATAGGGTGTTCCATTTGAAAAAACATAACTTTAGCTTTTACTTTAGTTCATATTTTGAAAACTATTATTTTCGTAGAAAAACAGACGCCACTGTATTCCACGCAAAAAGTTCTACAAGAATCAGTTTTCACCTTCTCGATATCATCCATAACAACGGAAATACAGGGAGTGTCCCAAATTGCAAAATTTTCAAAAAGACACTGTAGCTCAGAAATGAAGAGCAGGGTTCGGAAAACTACATGTTACTTTTAAAAACTACATAAACTACATTACATGTAGTTAATGTAGTTTATGTAGAGGGTGTAGTTTATGTAACCTATGTATGTAACTTTCAAATATCAAAGGTTTGAGTTGAGGTTATAATAAGTTGAAGCTTTAGAAAACACAATGTATTTAAGAAAACAGAAGAAATAGGCTTTAAATATAATATTCACACATCATATTATTTAGACCCCTTATATAAAGCAAAATTATTCATAATATCTATACATAGTTTATTAACGTAGTTTTCATGTAGTTAATGAACGGGAAAAGACGTAGGCCCGTATTTATAGTTGCATCTCGAGACGCCAAGACGGTCTTGGGCTCTCGAGAGCGGAATCCACAGAATACACGAGCAAACGTCATTTTGGAGATTGCGATTTTCATTTTGGATAATTTATGTGATCTGTGGATAGTTTCTTAACCTAACTTTTTTAGTAAACAAAATAAATCCCTTGTAAATTCGTTTTGTCTGATTAAACAGTTTTGAATATGTTAGATGAGTTTGAGGATATTTTGGACCATGTGGAATAAGAAAATCGTCTTCGAGTTCCAAAACGATATATAAGGGATGCAGGAAATCCAATAGAAATGTTTAGCGAGGGGGAATTTAAATACCGATATAGGTTTAGCAAGGCTACAATTACAGAAACAAGCTCACCGTAAAACAGAGATTTTGGTATGCGATTTTCTTGCATCCTGCATACGTGACCAGCCCATCTTAAGAGGGATTTTGTAACCATGACTCCAATACTCTCGCAGTTAGCTTTTTCAAGGACCGATACGTTTGAGACATGATGGAACCACTGGATTCTTAAGAGTTGTCTAAGGTGTCTCTGTTGCAACTTGTTTAATGCGTTTATGTGTCGGCGACACGGCACCCAGGTTTCACTCCCATATAACATGGTGGGGATTATAATTGCTCGGTACACTGCAAGTTTTGTTTTGGTACTCAAGTCATGATTGTAGAAAACCCTGTCTTTTAATTTCCAGAATGCCCTTGAAGCGCTACTAATCCTGTGCTGAATTTCAGAGTCAATATTGGCCTTTTCCGAAATCAAACTACCAAGGTAATTGAATTCCGCCACATATTCCAATAGTTCTTCTCCGATTTTTATAGCATTGTTGTGATCTTCCGGGGGAGTGCACATGATTTTGGTTTTGTCGATGTTTAGCTTAAGGCCCAAAGCCTCATATGCCCAGGTAAATGTGTTCAACATTTCTTGTAATTGTTGTACCGTGTTTGCAACTAGAGCACAGTCGTCAGCGTATTGGAGTTCTGTGATGAATTTTGTACGTGTTTTTGCCCTGAGTCTTTTTATATTGAACAGACCGCCGTCGTATCTGTATCTAATGCCCAATCCTCTCTCCTGCAGTTTGCTGTCCACTATAATGGAGAGCGCTGCCATGAATATGTTGAATAGGAGAGGCGCTAAGACACATCCCTGCCTAACTCCTGTATTTGTTAGGAATGGATCGCTCAGTGATCCATGATGTGTTACTCTGGACTTATTGTTGTTATGGAGGCTTTTACACACAGTAAGAAATTTGTTGGGTACTCCGAACTTTTTCATAATTGCCCAAAGTGCATCTCTGTTCACAGAGTCGAAGGCTTTTGTTAGATCGATGAATGCAACATAAAGTTTAGACTGCTGCTCTTTTACTTTTTCCTGTAGTTGACGGATGGAAAATATGGAATCGACGGTGCCGCGGTTGGTACGAAAACCCGTTTGCGATTCTGGAAGGATTTTTTCTATGTATGGGTGCAGGCGGTTTGACATAATTTTTGCAAGAATTTTTCCGCCGATAGCCAATAGTGAAATTCCCCGGTAATTTCCGCAGTCTGATGCACTTCCTTTGTTCTTAAATATATTCACTATATTCGCGTTGCGAAAGTCCTGAGGTACCTCTCCGCTTTCCCATACGACATCGAAGAGAGCCTTAAGATGACCAATAAGTTCTTTACTTGCACACTTATAGATTTTCGCCGGAATCGCGTCACAGCCAGCTGATTTGTTGTTTTTAAGCTGTTTTATGGAGATCTCTATTTCCTGTTCTGTTATTGGGATGTCTAATACATCGAGGCTGTTATACTGAGGTATTGTGTTTAGTGCTTCCATATTGGGGTTGTTTTCTTGGTTAAGGATATGGCTGTAATGCTCTTTCCAGCGATTTCGGATTTGTTCTTCCTCTTTTAGAAGTTCGCCATTTTGTGCCATGATTGGGCAGCTTACCTTCTTGGTTGGACCGTATACTTCTTTTACAGCCTCAAAAAATTTACGATAATCGTGATGCGTGGCGTACTCCTGAATCTGATTCGCTTTTTCTAACCACCTTTATTCTTATCCTTTACTTGGCGCAGTTCTCTTCGAAGTGTGTTGTTGGCTGCTTTAAAGTTGTCTACCAGTCTTGGATTATGTGGATTTTCAGTGACTGCTTCGTGTGCTCTATGCTTTTGTTCCAACAAAACCTGTATATGCGGTTGATTTTCGTTAAACCAGTCTGGTTGTTTCTTTTTGTTCGACTTTCCCAGTACTGCTTCGCTGGTTTTATGAATCGCATCCCTTAATTGTATCCAACCTTGTTCAGCTTCCAAGATTGAGATTGAAGTTATCGGTGGAAGTGATTCTTTGATGGCTTCCCGGAGGGCGTCGGCGGTATTGTTGTTCTCTAGACCCCGTACGTTCAATCTGGTCATATTGTTTTGCTTTTTACAGTGTGGATGTTTGGGTTTTAACTGGATTTTCATTTTTGAAATTAAAAGTCGGTGGTCAGTGCCGCATTCGGCATCTATTCTGGCTTTTGTGATCGTAACATCTTTTAGATGCGTCCTTCGAACGATTATGTGGTCTAATTGATGCCAGTGGCCTGATCTAGGATGTTTCCAGGTACCTTTAAACTTGTCCTTCAACATGAACCACGTATTGGTGATGCAAAGATTATAATCTGCGCATATTGTTAATAAGCGTTCACCATTGCTATTTACGTTTCCCATTCCATGTTTTCCCAATACGTCAGGCATATGGCCTGACGTATTCCTGTTGCTTGCCAACACGGGCATTAAAGTCACCTAGCAAGATGATCCGTTCGTGCTTTGGAATTCGTTGGAGAGCATTTTGTAAAACTTGGTAAAATTTATCCATATCCTCAATTTTAGCGTCAAGGGTGGGAGCGTAGGCACTAATGATGTTGACGTAAGTTTTGTCTGATATGGGGTACCTTAGGGTCATAAGATGTTCGGAGACACCAATAGGTACTTCTGTTAATTTAGTGGCGATTTCGTTTTTGATCGCAATGCCTACGCCATGAATTCTTCTGTGTGTTGCGGGGTGACCTTTCCAAAAGAAGGTGTAATGCTCCTCAGTGAGACTACCTTCATCCGCAAAGCGGGTTTCGCTTAGAGCGGCATCATCTATATTTAATCGGTGGAGTTCCTGTGAGACCAGTGCTGTTCTTCTCTCTGGTCGATTTGAATTTATCTTGTCCAGTAGAGTGCGGACGTTCCACGCCGCAAACGTGAAACATTGATGTTTTTTGTTTCTCCGATGATACGCTCGAGTAGGCACACCCTCCCGGAGATCCGATTGAGGGGGTATTTTACCTCCGGACGATAATTTTGTCCCACTCGAATGTTCCATCATTTTTGTGTGTAAGCTGCGTGAAAAGGTTTAACTGTGGCGGTTACGCTGCCGCACAGTTTTGGCTGCAACTGTAGCACGGGATGGCTATGGCACAGTGAGGACCGCGACGATAGTTCCCTTGTGCTACGTTCTCGGTCAGCTATGTGTACTTTACTACTCCTTTTCCCCAGAAGATGGTAAGTCTGAGGGTTGTATAAGGTTATACCGCCTATACTCGGACGTCAGAGCCTCGTTTGTGTAAACAGGGTGCACCACGTGAAGGTGAGGTTGACTTTTTGGGTAAGCTAGGCTATATGTATCGCTTCAATACCCCTTGCACCCTCATGTAGTTAATGAACGGGAG